TACAGGGAGAAGAGAAAATGTGGGGGGAGAGAGAGGAAAGGAAGTTCAGACTTATAAAGGTGTTAAATTGTACCTCTAACTTTCTCCTTTACAGTTAACATAAGTCTTTGGTTGTTCTGTTGAACAGAATTTGAATTGGGTCCAAGTACACTACCCCTAAACATTAGGTTATGCCAGCCATATGTTATAAATTACCATAAAGATTTATATCTGATTTGGTGGGATGCAAGTAATACAGATCGCCCTGCTCCTAAAGTCTTAGGGTGGACACTTCGGAGTCCACAGTGACTCTGAAATTCCTTGAAAATGCATGCAGAACTTTGCATTCACGTAAGTATGCATATTTCTGTGTGACTGTTCATAACTTTCATCAGATTCTCAAAGGCCCTGGGCAACTATAGGATAGGCTAATGTTTTAATATAAAAGATGACACATATACTAGAACACTCGACCAAACAGGTGAACAAACACTTGTGACTAATGTGTGGTGGGCGATCATCTCCATCTCATTTGATAAATTTTTCTCTTGCCAGTTTCTATAAACTATTACGTTGGCCTTGAGTCTCTTCTGAGGGTATTTGCTATCAATTTATCAAATGACCAAATAGCTTGGTACACGAAAAATTTTGTGTGGTAATAAAATGAATAATTTGAAAGAGTTTAACCTATTCTTACTTTCTTTCCCTTAATTATTTCTTGTAAATATTGAACCAATTTTAACCATTTGAAAAGCGTAGTGATGTGAATTTCTGCTTCAAAGTCTGGATATACACCAGTTGAAACATTTTGATTTCAAGACTATAAGAGCTACCAATTACTTTTATGTTAATGCATTTCTTTGTCCCGTGTATTTAAGATAAGTGAGAAGAATCAATTTGATGCTCTCTAGTCATGCCTCTCCTTGTTGGTATTAATTAAAAACACCTTTCTGACCAGTCACTCGTATACACGTGTTTCTGTGTCCGAATGTCACTGACCAGTCACAAGTTAACTTGTGTCTGCACTTACATTAATTTAAGTAATTTTAAACCCTTGCTGACCAAAGTAGCAGGCTGCAGGAGCGGGTTCTGGCTCAAAATAGCTGGTCAGCAAGGTGCTTAAACAATGTTTCTACTGAAATTTTACTTGTATGTTGCCAAACTGTGTCTAGACCAGCCAGCTTGGCTCATCGAGCTATGAACTGGGAGATGGCAGTTCCATCAGGTCAGGGCACATACCTGGGTTTCGGGCTCGATCCCCAGCAGGAGGCGTGCAGGAGGCAGCGGATCAATGACTCTCATCATTGATGTTTCTATCTCTCTCTCTCTCCCCCTCCCTTCCACTCTCCGAAATCAATAAAGACATATTTAAAAACAAAAACAAAAAAAACCTGTGTCTATTGTGTTAATGGTTGCTCATAAAAATAATAATCTGAGTTACCTTAACAGATTCTATTTGAATAAACATTTCATAATATCAGCTGGTACTGCTTCCAAAATAACATTACTTTTCTTTGCCACAAAGTTTATTTGGATTTAGTTATTTCAATGTGATTATTTGAAAGAGAATAAAATTTGGGCAACATTTGTATCTTATCTGAGTATTTTCTATATGTAAAATTTGAAAATTCAACTATTATAGTAGTTCTAAATTATTAAACACTTTTACAATTCTCCATGATCAAGTTAGACATTGAAGAAGTATATTTATACTTAATAGTCTCCACAATCACTCATTAATTTAAATTATAATATGAAATACTAGCTCTCTAATATCACCTCTTTTTTCTTTCCATTTGAAAGTCCAAATAAGTAGAAAAAGTATATTTTAAAGTTCCAAAACCTAAGCATGAGTTTAATAAATACTTTGTAGACTCATTTGCAAATGGCTAATAATGTGTGAAGCAATGTTATATTAGTTAGACCTTGAGTTCTGGAATGACTTCTTAGAGTAATTTTAGAAGGATTACTTTATAGCCGATCCCAAAGGGAGCCATGATTTGTGTGTGTGTGAATGTTCTATACAGAAGTATTAAAAGGAACATTCCCTTGATTGTATAGCTCATGTATTTTCAAAGTCTCTGGAAAAAAAGTACTGTTATTGAGTGATAGATTTTTTTTTTCAGCACCTGATAGTAATGATTAGCAAGGTCAATTTATGCACTACCATTAGTGCCCCAAGTTAAAGTTAAATTTGCTGCCGAGTTCCTACTTTGTGATAAATGTATTATGTCTTTTATATTTTTATTTCTCTCTCTTTCTTCCCCCCCCCCCC